CCAGAATATGAAATGGGTTTTTGATAATCATATGTACCCGTGCTTCTAATGGAACAACCAGAGATCATATCTTTACCTTGAGCTTCTCGCTCTCCCTCACAGCCTCCTGGAGCTCCACCTGCAGTTTCTCCAACTCTGCCATTCGGCTATTGGCCAACTCCTGGTTGTGCTCCAACTCTGCATTGAGACTCTCAAACTAGGATAAAAACAAACATCTTATAGATAGGAGAAATGTGCATGGTATAACTTTCAGTTACATGCAAAGATATAGACATACATCACACAAAATAAATTACAATTAATTCCTGTTTACCTTCTGAATGTTCAGTGTGATCTGGCCTCCAGGTAGTCCACCTGAACTGCCAGTGCTGCTGTATCCAGACTTTAGCTGTAGACAGCAAATGCAGAACATAGGTAAAAAAAAACAGACAAACATGACAGAAAAACATGAAAGCACACATCCTACGACATATATCAGATAATGCTCATGTTTAGATAGCTGATGCAAGTAAGACCACTCCATCAATGCACACGTGGACAGCGAGATGTGCATCAATAAGAACAGTTGGTTTCACAAGCTTTGATGCTTAAAACCTTATCACTGTCAAATAATTTATATGAGAGAAATAACAGCACAAGCCTACACCTTATGGACAGAATCACATGCACACACTCTAAAGAAAGAGGCACAGACACAAAAGCATAGACAATTTCATACAAATGTACCTGCTCCATGGCCTCTGCCAGATGTTTGTTGAGCTTTTGTTCCCTATTGCGGAGTTTCTCAATATCCCATTGCAGGTCCTCCACTGTCGTCTCCATCTCAGACACCTTGGTCTCAGAGCTGGTCACCTTGTCCACTAACTCATTGTACTGCAATAAGAACAAAGGCACCACAACAGCTGTGTCATGAGTTTCAAGTATACACACCAAAAGCAATAACTACATTGACACAGACGGTTTTACAATTTTCTCATTCACATACTCTGTGATACACGCTTGCATGCCCACACACAAGCACAAATATTAACCATTTACAGTGACGCCCACTAACAATGCCAAGGACACTGTACCTCCATGGACATCTTGTGGTGTCGGCCCTGCAGGAGAGTGGCCAGGTCTCGCAGTCGGCTGTTCTCCTCCTGCAGAGTGTGGTTCATGTTGATGATTTCAGACTGGCTATCATCTTCATATGCTGCCAATGAAGACAAAGGTAGTTGTGCCAAATTAGAGTGGAGCTTACGAGTGTCAAAACACCATACTCACATTTACGTAGACCAACAACTCGATAATAAAACACAATTAGTAGCAGATAATTAGTTTTAACGGAGGATATAAAATGTGCAGCATGTGTGAATGTCTCCACAGTTACCTGCAGCCTGGACCTGCTTGCACATGCTGTCGATGCGGCTGTGCAGCCTGTCAAAGACACAGACCAAGCAGGCGATGGCTTCCTTGCTGAACTGCATGCGGTCTTGGAGGTGCAGGGTGAGCTCCTCCTCGCTGCTGTGCTCCAATGTAGCCAGGAAACCTTTGGCATTGTCACTCAGGGGAGGAGGAGGCGGCAATGCATCTAAACATAATAGGAGGTGGTTATGTACGAAGTTGGTTTAAATCCGCAGAGTGGGTAATAATGTGATCAGAGCATTAACTTTCAATCTTTAGATAGAAAAATGGAAACTGTGTGTGTCCTCATTAAAACTTAAAATATGTTTGAGTTCCAGCCATTGACTGACGGTTTAGCATTTTGCAAGTTCTCTGACATTTAAAACATGAAGCAACAGATGAGGCAAATACAGATAGAGGGAGGTTAGCACTACTTATAACAGCCTGAAAGTCTTCATGCTTCTTGCCAGACGAGTGTACCGAAGCATAAAAGGGAAGTCTTTTTCACACCTCCAACATGTTTTGTCGCTTGTCTTTTAAGATACTTTTAGATTCAGTAATACTGTTTCAGCCTTAAAGCCCCTTGAGACAAATTGTGTTTTGTGATACTGGGCTATACAAATAAAAGTTGACTTGACCCTCTGCCTTTTCCTTCATTTTCACAGCAGGTGTTTTCACTCTGAGAGAATACACATCAATCACCTTAACCAGACTAGGATTCTATCAGATGTTTTATTGGTATTTTGTGGCACATACATGCTGTTTGATTTCCATCTATCCTTATGTGTAAGCAATAAAATGATGAAGCAATGTGTTTTTGCAAAAGCTTCACAAAATTAGCAACATGTGTAACGTTAAACAACAGTAGCAACGTAACAGAAAGAAGGGGTTTTAAGTTAGACACAGGAGGGAGACTGACCTAAACGTAACCTAATGTGGTGTCATACCCATGTAACCACTTTTGTTCGAATATCATTAATATAAAATAAAGTAATATTACAGATTATATGGTCAAATCAAACAATCCATAAATACAGTCAGTGATGGAGCAGCTTGGTCAGAAAAACGCTGCTTACCTGTTGTTGAGTCCTGTGGCGGCTCTGTGGGCGTCAATAACTCTTCTGACCCAGCAGGAGGAGGGGGCTGGGGCTGCTGCTCCTCCTGGCGCTCTTCTGGACGCTCCTCCTGCTGATGCTGCTCTGCCTGCTCCCCTTCATTCAGGGCCTCTGGGAGTGGAGGTGGAGGCACGGCAGTTGCTGGTGAGGTTAGATTAACACCATCTTCCTCCATTGGTGTGGGATCAGGGAGCGGGCATGAGGGTGGAGCAGGGGTAGATGTCAGCGGAGCTTCTGGCTCAATACGTTTGCGTAGAACGTGCACACACTCTTCCAACTGCAAATCAAAAACACAAGATATAAAAAAAAGTTAATCCTCTGGAAAAAGCATTACCATGGGTAAATGTTTTGTGCAACAAACATCAGAATTTGTAAGCTCTTTTGAGTATCATTACAATGTAATAGGTAATCTATTATTGTTAAAGCTTTTAGCCTTTGTTACTGTTTACAGATGAAGAGTAACAGGAAAGGGGGGATGACATGCAGCAAAGAGGCTGTTGCAGACTCAACCTTAGTATATGGTGCACCAGTCTACCAGGTTAGCCACCAAGACACCCCTAAACTTAACATGGTACATACCTTTAATAAATCAAGTTTCAGCTCAAAGGTGTTTATAATTAGTTTAAAACAATGTAAACAAATGTGCAGAAGTACCTGCGACCAGTAGCGATTGACAATCAGCAGGGTGGTGTCATCAGTGGCTTGTCTCTTCTCCAACTTCTCAATTTTCTCTCGTAACTCATCCTCCATCGCCTGTCTCTGCTCCAAGCGCTCACACAGCTTCTTATTCTTGAACTGGAGGACCTTCATGTCCATTTCCTCCTGCACAGAACAAATACAGACACCGAGGTGAGGAATAACAGGGATTCTGAATGTTGCTGAGATGATGTGCAGTGTCACATTAGGTTGCAAATTCACTGTAATGGAAGTGGAAAAAAAGAAAAAAGATTAAAAATAGTGAGCGTAAACACCAAATGACTGACCGTGGAGGAGACTCCAGCTATGCGTATGGGCTCAATGAGAGTGGTGGTGGTCTTCTCCTCTTTTTTGCTTTTCTTCTCAGGTGGGCCAGGGGGGCTGTCCCCACCTGAGGGACGTTTTCCTCCCCCAGCACCTGACATCGTGTCTTCCCCTGCAAGAGATAAAACACGACATGAAATCTTTGCATTGGTACAGCTTTAGGGAACTACGGATTCGTTTGCAAATGGAGAACTCATTCATTTGATGTCAACTAGCTTTGTCCTCCAGTACAAGCGCAGGGCCACTGGTTTTAACTAGTTTACAACTAGAAACTTGTGATGTTTATATGGAAACGTGTGTTCAGGAACGATTAAGCGGACCGATATTGTATAAGCCACAGCCAAAGAAGCTGCCGACATTTTTTAATTTGCCCTTTTTTTTGCTCAGATTAACGAACATTAGCGAACCTGCTAACGCTAGCTATGCTAATGCTAACGTTAATTCTGCGAGACCTGTTAAGCTACACGGCGCTCTTTGTACGACGTATTTAATGTGGTGGTTTTTATTCACTGACCATCGAAACATGCGTAAGATAATCTGTAGAGAAACTCTAAATGCACACACATATATAAACCATTGTGTGTCAAATATCAACGTTACAAACCTTCACAAGGAGCGAGTGAAAATGTAACTCAGTGCATCCAGAGGAGCTACAGGAAATTACGACAATTAACTTCTTCTTCTTCTTGGTATTTTTCTTTTTTTTGGCGGACTGCAATCTCAATTTACAGGTGCAGACCGCCACCTACCGTACCGGAGTATGTAGAACCGGATCTAGTTAAGTTTTAAGTGTATGAACAAAGTAAATAAAGAAATAAACAAGAACTATATTCTACTAAACAATTTTGTGTTTATTAATAAACACATAAGCCCTCTCTGTGCCTCCCAAACCTTCTCTCATTTGTCTCTAACATCCTCATCCAGCCTCTCTCACCCTTTGTTGTAAACTTACCCTCTCTTCAGTGCATTACATGTTCTACATTTTCACTTATATTACAATGCACACATACTTGTGAATTTACCTTACCCGATAACAATAATGTCTTATTTATACCAGTGTTATCAGATCTTATAGATATAACTACCTCCTCTCTTCTATTTCTTCCTGTAACATTATGTGCTGTAGCTGTTTTTTGTATTCTGTAGTATTTAAATATATATATATTTTGATTTCCTTTTTGATTAGTGCTTTTACCTTTCCAAAATCAAAGTATTATCATTATATTCCTTATATTTATACGGCAATGCACATCCACAGAGTATTTTTTTTTTAAAGAAAGAAATCATAAACAATAAACATCAGTTGTACTACATTATTTGGGTATCTTGCCCTAAAATGTAGCTACTAAACCCTAAAAATACCATATTATTATTATTATTATTATTATTATTATTATTATTATTATTATTATTATCATTATCATTATTATTAAATGAACCGTGCTGCAATCCCCACTCCGGCCTCACGGGGGCAGTACTGCCACACTGTGTAATAACAGGCTACAGGCAGTTTCGAGGAATGTGAGTAGAATGTAAACAGAGCTCAGGCGGTAGCTAACGGTTGTTGCTCGGTAACTAACTCTTTGATATTGTCGCCGCTGAATCGGACTCACTTATGGCTTCACGATAGGTTTCTCGAGGTGAGATGGCACTGTTTTACTGATTCCTTAATTCCGCCGTCTTCCTTCCCCTTGTTGTCGTTTGATAGCATACACGGTGAGTAGCTTCCTTGATAGTACGGTCAGTGAACCTGCTGCAGCAGCAAGGCCAAATGAAAGAGTTAGCTCACTGTCATGATGGACCAAATAACAGTAGGGAGGTTATATATAATGTGTGTGTGTCTATGTAGCGAGCAGATCCCAACAATGTCCCGCTAACTAGGATTAATTTAAAGCAATACAAACACTTCCTAGTCAGGAGTGATCAGTAGTTCCTGTTACAAAACATGCAGCACTGTTACAGAGTGACACATGTGACTGACAATTTTTTGTTATAGATTCATATGCTGTCACCATGACCAAAGACATAGTTGTTGGAGATGAACTACCAGACTGGGTGGGGGCCAAGGAGTTTTACCAGAAATATGACCCCAAAGAGGTGATTGGCAGGTGAGTCCAGCAAAATAACCTGAAATGTGATCCCAGTTGTCTGTTGGGACGATGAAATAAAAACCCCATGCTGTAATCTGTGGGAATGCTTTCTCAGGGGTGTGAGCAGTGTGGTGCGCAGGTGTGTGCACAGACACACGGCTCAGGAGCTGGCAGTGAAGATTATTGAGATCACAGCGGAGAAGATGACCGTTCAGCAGCTGGAGGAGGTGAAAACCTCTACCCTGAAGGAGATCCAAGTCCTCAACATGGTGAAGGGACATTCCTCAATCAGTATGTTGGACTTCTACTCTTTTGGACACTTTCATGTTCTCTTCTTGGGGATTCAAAAGTTCTAAAACCTTGTTATGTTTTTTTTCCTTTAGTTACTCTCATTGATTCCTATGAGTCCACAACTTTCATATTTTTGGTGTTTGACCTGTAAGTATTACAACAAATACGACTGAATACGACATGAATGTTGGAGAATAGCATCAATCTCTTGTTTTCATTTACAGCATGAGGCGAGGAGAGCTGTTTGACTACCTCACAGAAAAAGTGACTCTGAGTGAGAAGGAAACCAGGTGAGCTCCAGCATCAACACAACCTTTCAGCTAATTCAGTCTGGCAGCATTTTGGCCAGTGTCACACTCTTGTAGCAGAACAAAGTTCGGCCTTATTAAAGCTTTATAACTGTGTGTCCGCCGCCAAATCATTTATTATTTACATTTCTGCAGAACATTTTCCAAAATATACCCTGATTTTATGGTGCAGTGAATGTGTTTCTCAAGCTGAAGTTTCTTTTCAGACAAAAGTTGACTTGAAAGTTACAGCCCATGGTTTGGGAAATAAATGAAGCCAATGGCCGCCTGGAAATGATGATGTCTTTTGTAAAACCCATTGGTCTACAGGAGCATGATGCGAGCTCTGCTGGAGGCCGTGCAGTACCTCCACTCCCTGAACATCATCCACCGGGACTTGAAACCTGAGAATATTCTCCTGGATGATCAGGGACACATCAAACTGTCCGACTTTGGATTCTCAGTGCAGCTACAGCCTGGAGAGAAACTTAGAGGTACATTAGTATAAAATGATGACTGAAGGTCAATATTAAAGATCTTTAGATGTGTGAATCATTTGTTTAGACACAGGTTCAAATGATCTGTTTTCTCTTTTGTTCTAATTAGAGCTTTGTGGCACACCTGGTTATCTGGCCCCTGAAATACTGAAATGTTCAATGGATGAAATGCACACAGGCTATGGCAAAGAGGTTGATCTGTAAGTCTTCCATTTTGTCAACAACATTTATTTAAAGTAACATTTATATGAGTGTATATATCCCAAACATCATCCTAGGTTTTGTCCCCTAAATGTTGTTCCTAATTCTTGCTCACTTGTTTTGATGCATGCATTGGAAAGCTGGGCGTGTGGAGTGATCCTTTTCACTTTACTGGCCGGCTCGCCACCGTTCTGGCATCGCAAACAGATGCTGATGCTGAGGATGATCATGGAGGGTCGCTATCAGTTCAGCTCCCCAGAGTGGGACGACAGGTCTGACACTGTGAAAGACCTGGTAAGACTGATAAACCTTAATGTTTGATGTTTCATTTCAGTTTATAAAGTAAGATACCTTCAGCAGAAAACAGAATATGTGACAAAATCATGAGGTTAAACCATAAAGCTATTTGTTTGTGCTGCTCAGATTTCCAGGCTGCTGGTGGTGGACCCGGCTGTCCGTCTCACTGCTGAGCAAGCCTTAGCTCATCCCTTCTTCAGACTGTACCAGAAGGAGAATGTGCGTCTCTTCAGTCCTAGAAAGACCTTTAGGGTAGGTCACTGGGTTGACTTGGCTTTTTTAATTTTTTTTTTTATGGCAGCAGATTTAAGATTTTAAACCAAAAAAAACAAAAATCTCTCTTCTCATCTGTTTTTCTTTCACGCTCCCTCAGGTGTTGATCGTCAGTGTGCTGGCCTGTATCAGGATGTACAGCCGTTACCGCAGGGCTCGGCCGCTCACACGCGAGGTACTGGCCAGAGACCCGTACTCTCTTCGCGGTGTCCGCAAACTCATTGACGGTTGCGCCTTCCGCATCTATGGGCACTGGGTGAAGAAAGGGGAGCAGCAGAACCGAGCCGCCCTCTTTCAGAACACAGCTAAGATCATGCTGCTTGGCCTGGAGGACTTTGAAGCATAAAAGGTTAACCTCATTCCTAACCACCTTGATTTTTATTTAAACATTCACATGCGCTGCCATGTCAGCGTTTGTCTTGTCGCATTACTGTGTTTAATTTTAATATTAGGAATTCAGGGACCTGGATGTTTGTATGCCTTAATGTGCACTGTGGTCCTGCGAGTTAAAGATAAGCATGCATTATCTGTGCTTTCATCCAAGTTTGTGGGTTTGAAACTCCTCTTGTCAGGTCATCATGTTTGCAGTGCCAGTTTGCAGAAGAGAACACGTTGCACAATCGTTTGAATAAACACGTCACATAAAGGTATATTTTATACATTTAGGATTTTAGATCTATAGGTCAGTTATAACTGAGGAGAGGATGTGTTTCTAAGCACTGTTTGGCTGAAGTGAACATAAAGCACTGTGATTAATTATTTAAAATATAATTATATATACATATTGTAACAGGGCTCAGATTTACAGATATTTCAGTGTTACAAATCTGCAGCGGAGGGCATGTATACAGTGTTTTTGGTAGAGAATCCTGTAGCTGTCATGCATGCAGACATTCCTTAATAGGAAACCTACTTACACTAACTGTGATGACTGTCTGTGACTGTATTTCCTATTAAAACTAACAAACACAATTCCCAACTCAGTTCATTCCCCAGTTTAATAAATGGCACTTTTCCTGAAAGTGCCTGCCTGAGAAATGTACAGTAATTGTACAAATGCAGATAGAAATTGTACTGTATATGAAAAAAAAGAAACAAGTTGTATTAACAATAAAAACAAATGTTTGAGTCAGAATTTACTCATTTTGTGTGAGTTCTTATTTGAAATTCATTATTTTTTGGCCTTGTGGTTGAGTTGTGGAGATTCTAGGGCTCGGTTGTGTTGTCCTGCAATTTCTTTCATTCGCTGATCTAGTTGTCCGGACACAAGCATCATCTGCTCTTTGACCTCTTTCTCTATCAGCGCCTTCAGTTCTGAGTTTGAACCTGAAAGTGAGGAAATGAAGCAGATACAATACACCAGTTAGAGTGCACTTGACTTAAACATTTATTTCTGCACAGTCTTTTTTTATGATCTTACCGAGCGTGTCTCCCTCTGACTCTGCAATGGATGCTTCTTGTGTTTGAGGGCCGCTGTCTGTCTTTGCTTCTGCTTCTTTGTCAATCACATTTCGGGTGCAGGAAAAGTAGTTAAAAGTGTTAATAAATCTTGTCCAAGGTTGTCTAGAATATCAAGAATATTCAGATTTTCCATGTAACACAACATAAAATTGAAGACGTTTGTTAAGAGCGAGGAGATTGAAGTCATTTTTATGTTTATGGGTTTTCAAAAACAATGAGAAGTTCGTAAATTTGATGCATTTACATTATATAATTTAGTGTTTTGCCTTTTCTTACTCTTCCACATTCTATATTTTCGTTGCCCAGCCTCGTTCTTAAAATTTTTAATTGCTTTTATTCAGTCCTAGTTGCATGCTAAAAGTTTTGAAAACCTTTTAAACCTTTTTCATGCTTCCTAGAACATTTGTGTTTCTACAACTGCTGATACGCTGTAATTATTACCTGGAGCAGAAGAATCCTCCATAGTGTGTTTATCCTGGTCTGGGATCCCAGAGTAAATCAAAGACAAATCAAGTTTTACCTGTGAAAATTAATACTAAAAATATCATTATTCTCTCCAGATTGTATTTTAACTTTACTAAAATAAAATATGAATCAAAGCAGAACCATTTGTGCAGAATAATTAATTTCCGATTTCTTACCTGTGGAGTGAAAATATATTTGTACAGTTTGTAGTGTCTCACATAGCTGTTGTGTATGTACTGTAAGATACAGCTCACCTCCTCAGAGCTGAAGAGATTGATACTAAAGGGAGGTCTCTGTAGTGGGCAAACACGAAATACATTACATTCCTAAAAATGTACAGGTGTTGAAACAATATTGTGAGTAAAAAAAGATTGTTTTACAGACCCTGACTGAGTGACAGAGAAGTAGCTCCTTGCAGTATTTGAAACACTGCTCTATGTTGTTAAGTGGAGTTTCTGCAAGAAAATAGTTTCAAACACATTTTGTGTGAAGTTAAGGAACATTTAAATGAATTATTTGAACAAATCAACCTATAATATTTGCCCAGCAGCATACTGTATTTTGCCATACCATCTAAATATTGAATTGGTTGTCACAGTTACTATTAGTATGTAGTTAGTATGAACTGTGTCAGCTGCAGAGGTAGCTTGTACATCATCAATGTTGAAAGCCAGTTCCATTTCAAACTACTAACTTAGATGACTGTGACAATAATATGATTTTACTTACGTATGTTAGCCTCATGAATGGACTTGATGATGGACAAGAGAGCAGACGTTTGTTCTTTTTTGAAGCTGTGCTCTCTGCAGAAGAGCACAGTCTGCACATACATCTCCAGCAGAACTCCTCTTCTGGGTTCAGGGAGGTCGATGCCAAACACACTGCATAAAGCACTGCCACAGAACATAAGAAACAGTCATTGATCAGTGCTGTGTGATTTTGTATCAATAGATAGATGTGTTTCTGGTATACATAAACAGGGGCAGAAACCTCTCCAGATCAGGAACGGATTGCATTTTGTCTACCTCCTCCATGTCATGGTAGCTTACATCTGTCCTGAAAGAACACCCAGGGTTCAGGTTCAGACATTAGGTTTAGTCATAAATAAAGCAGCAAACGGTCCAAATGATCGGGATTGTGGACACAGCTCTCACCATAGCATCACTTTAGCTTTCAGGGTCTGTGGTTCCTACAAAACAAAACAATGCTTGCTTAATATGCAATGCATTACAAGGCAATAAGAATAGTTGTATATAGTGTATAATATAAATCTTTATATTTGAATTATGATTTAAAAAATCAAAGGAGGTTAAACGAGCAGACGGTAAAGTGAACCCAGCTGCTAATCTAACGTTAGATAAAACAAGCTAAATGTATAGAGCCTACCTTTATTCTCGTTTCCATGTTTTATTTCTTTTGCCGAGTTATAAATTGAGCAAACTGAAGACGGTGAAAAGCAGCTGAAAAACAGAGGTACGACTGATTTGATTATGTCATTAAAAGGTATCGATTGTTTGTTTGTCTTTTTAACATGTAACAGCATTAGGAGAAACCTTACCTTGACCCAAACAGACTTTAATGAAGCTAAATAATTTCCTGTTTGGCTGTATCCTAGCAACAGTATATCCTTTTTTTCCCCGGTTTAGCGCGTGGTACAATCATGAAAAACAGAAACACCCACTAATACTACTAATACTAATACTAATACTACTAATACTAATACTACCACTAATGCTAATACTACTAATACTACTAATACTAATACTACTACTAATACTAATACTAATACTAATACTAATACTACTAATACTAATACTACCACTAATGCTAATACTACTAATACTACTAATACTAATACTACTACTAATACTAATACTACCACTAATGCTAATACTACTAATACTACTAATACTAATACTACTAATACTAATACTACCACTAATGCTAATACTACTAATACTACTAATACTAATACTACTACTAATACTAATACTACCACTAATGCTAATACCACTAATACTACTAATACTAATACTACCACTAATGCTAATACTACTAATACTAATACTACTACTAATACTAATACTAATACTAATACTACTAATACTAATACTACCACTAATGCTAATACCACTAATACTACTAATACTAATACTACCACTAATGCTAATACTACTAATACTACTAATACTAATACTACTAATACTAATACTACCACTAATGCTAATACCACTAATACTACTAATACTACTAATACTAATACTACTACTAATACTAATACTACTAATACTAATACTACCACTAATGCTAGTACCACTAATACTACTAATACTAATACTACCACTAATGCTAATACTACATATACTACTAATACTAATACTACTAATACTAATACTACCACTAATGCTAATACTACTAATACTAATACTACTACTACTACTACTAATACTACTAATACTAATACTACTAATACCACTAATACTACTAATACTAATACTACCACTAATACTAATACTACTACTACTACTACTACTACTACTACTACTAATACTACTAATACTAATACTACTAATACCACTAATACTACTAATACCACTAATACTACTAATACTAATACTACCACTAATACTACCACTAATACTAATACTACTACAACTAATACTACTACTACTACTACTACTACTACTAATACTAATACTACTAATACTAATACTACTAATACTAATACTACTAATACCACTAATACTACTAATACTAATACTACCACTAATGCTAATACTACTAATACTAATACTACTACTACTACTAATACTAATACTACTAATACCACTAATACTACTAATACTAATACTACTAATACCACTACTACTACTAATACTAATACTACTAATACTAATACTACTAATACCACTAATACTACTAATACTACTAATACTAATACTACTAATACCACTAATACTACTAATACTACTACCACTACTACCACTAATACCACTAATACTAATACTACTACTACCACTAATACTACTACTACCACTAATACTAATACTACTAATACTACTAATACCACTAATACTAATACTACTAATACCACTAATACTACTAATACTAATACTACTAATACCACTAATACCACTAATACTAATACTACTAATACTACTAATACTACTAATACTAATACTACTAATACCACTAATACTAATACCACTACTACCACTAATGCTAATACTACTAATACTACTAATACTAATACCACTAATACCACTAATACTAATACCACTACTACCACTAATATCACTAATACTACTAATACTACTACTACCACTAATACCACTAATACTACTACTAATACTAATACTACTACTACCACCACTAATACTACTAATACTACTACTACTAATACTACTACTACCACTACTACCACTAATACTACTAATACTAATAATACCACTACTACCACTAATATCACTAATACTACTAATACTACTACTACCACTACTACTACTAATAGCACTAATACTACTACTAATACTAATACTACTACTGCCACTAATAGCACTAATACCCCTAATACTACTAATACTACTACTAATACTACTACTACCACTAATAGCACTAATACTACTACTAATACTAATACTACTAATACTACTACTAATAATAATACCACTACTACCACTGCTACCACTAATACCACTAATACTACTACTACCACTACTACCACTAATAGCACTAATACTACTACTAATACTAATACTACTACTACCACTAATACTACTAATACTACTAATACTAATAATACTAATACTACCACTAATACCACTAATACCACTAATACTACTAATACTACTACTACCACTAATACTACTAATACCACTACTACCACTAATACCACTAATACTAATATTACCACTACTACCACTAATAGCACTAATACTACTACTAATACTAATACTAATACTACTACTACCACTAATACCACTAATACTAATACCACTAAAACTACTAATGCTAATACCACTACTACCACTAATACTACTAATATTAATCCTAATACTACTAGTACTACTAATACTACCACTAATAATAATAATACTATATCTACTACTACTACTATACTAATACTACTACTACTACTAATAATAATAATAATAATAATACTATTACTACTACTACTACTACTACTACTACTACTAATACTACTGCTACTATAATGATACTACTACTACTACTACCAACCCATATAAATTATATTTAATACATTTTTAAAAAAGTATAATATCGGTTAACAATGCAAATATAAATGTATAAAAACCTTAATTTTCGGGCTGTTTAAAAACACCTATATGAATATATATAATGTAAAACCCTGATGAAATAAAAAATTGTAAAAGAAAAACAAATTGAAACGTCAGCTAGGCATCACTCATATTTTATTTTATTGATTATAACTCTGTCAAAAGACCTAAAACACAGAACTACCCACCCTAAATGATAAAATACAATAAAGCTTAGCTTAATCAATCATTAAAAAAAAGAAATCAATAAAATTTAAATGTTATCATCACTCATAGATGGTTATTTATATTTCATTTCATTTCATTTCGAAAATTGTCTTTTTGAGTCCACTGGCAAAAATATATGACTTTCACTATTCGTTAGACTATACCACTGTATTACCACTACTAACTGAACTTTGTGTATTAGGCCAAAGAACCAAAAGTACTGTATACGCATTTGTAGATTTATAAAAATATTAAACACATATAAAATACATATACAAATACTACTAACAAAACACAATTCAACCAAACAAACCAGGCTATTAAATATAAGTAAAAAACTGCAAACAAGCGTCAGTGTACCAAAACTGTAAGAAAACACTGCTACAAACATAAACAAACAACTAAATACAACAACAACAAAGACATGAACGGTATATTATATGAATTAAACGCGGAGTTGTTGGATTTTATTTCACGGCTCTCCATCGCCGCTGCATGGCAGCTGTATCCATGGCAACGAGATAAACCTGCCTGAGTGTCCCGCTAATAGCCAATGTCTGCTTGTGTTGATGCTTTCTGGGACGGTCTCGGTCATTTAACGGCACTCTGGGGGATGTGTTGTGTGTCGGTTGGGCCAAGTGAGGCGCGTTGGGTAATACTCGGAAGCTTTGGGGCAATTTGTGGTCACTGCTGCGACTTCCGTGTTTGACTGTTTACGCCTGGGTAAGTGATGTAGTAAAATGACAGGAGCAGGGCATCACCTCCCCGCTTCTCTTGTCTCACATTTCAGCTGTTACATTATGCCTTAGCATCTCCATAGAGCAGCCATGGAAAAGCTCGCCTTGCCCCCGAGACTGCTTGTCCATACTGACTGAGCTGTGCAGTGCAGTTTAAGAACATTATCCCCCTTTAATCCACTTTGCCTTCTGCTACATGCAGGTGGACAGACTGTCAGATGGAGCAGGGTGGCACAATCAAACACCCGTTTCCATATTTAAATGCTCTTTTATTTTGGAAACTGAACAATTTCTCTCATTGAACTTTGATGTTGGATTTCATCTGTTGTTTTTAAACGTCCTTAATTATCTACTGATTACTTTGTAATTAGCAGTGAGTCTTTACTCAGACATGGAGGACCCCGATATGCGACAACAAAAGCTGGACAACCAGGTAAAGAAACAAGGATTATTTGATGTAATTTACACATGAATAGGCCCATATATGTTTTGCTTTATTTTAAACTGGTACAAGAATCACAGTGCACTTCAAATAGTTTACAATGATGCTTTTAAGCTGATTGAGTAGATTTTTAGTTGTGTTCCTTTATATAAAACATATATGTAGGGTAATGATCATAGTCCATGCAGTGTAGTGTAGCAAAAACTGGAACATGTGTTTTAATTAGCTAATTAAAAAATTAGTTAACAAGTGGTTAAAAATGAGGCAGCAACAAATAAAGCTTTCTTGAGTCTCATGAGGTCATCATGGCTACCTGTGTCAGAACCACCTGCTGTTTGGAGCTACTGCACAACATTAAGTCACAGACTTGTTTAGTACAGTGTGTGAGCTACATAAATAACTTTTATCTGAAAGATCAGCAGATAATCAGTGCTACAAGTACTAATGCTAATAGTAGCTGTGGTAACCTTATAGTTAAATCCTGAATTAATACTTGTAGTAGTAGTAGTGGTAAAGTAGTAACAATAATGTATGGGAACCTGCATTTAAAATCTTGCATCCAGGATCAGTTGTTTGAACATCTTCAGCTGGCAATAGTCACAACGGGAAATCACTGTCTAGAATTTAATAAAACACAAAAAACAATATATTACAGATATATATATATAACTGTTCCAAAACTTTGTCTGCCTGGTTGCTGTCTTGGTTAAATAATAGAATATATATAATGTTATAATATTAGCTTATAATACCCATGGCTCAGGGTCAGTTGAGTTTAGTTGTCATATGTAGATCGAACATTGAAAGTGATCAAATTGTACATTAAGAAAGTCTTTTCTGGAGTGTAGCTAGTTGAAGGTTTTTGAGAGAAAAAATAATCAAAGATATCACTGTGCTGAATGTAAAGAGTTAAGATGCACTATTTTCTTTCTTCTAGTTTTATTCCCACTTATGAACATTGTGTGGAGACACTGTTGACAGTTTTCAATTCTCCCACAGCGTACCCTTTTGATAAAAAAGCAGCAAAAGAAGAGGGCTGATTCTCAAATGGTGGTAGCCAATCGGGACACGCGCCAAAAGAACCGCAAGCACAAAGCTTCCCGCTCGGATGAAACACCTCTGTTAATCAGCCAATCCCTGAGCAACACATCCCTGAGTGGTTAGTATTAGAATAACAGATAATTAGAACAACTTTAGACTTTTTAAAGAGAAAATCTAATTCCAAAGCAAAATAATGCTTTTTTCTTTAAAAATATTAAATACAAGTTTTTGTCTCTTTTCCTGGAGATCAAGTTGAACATGCCCATGATAACCCATTGGACGAGATCACATTGGGTGAATGCGACATGACAGCAAACATGATGTCAGATGAGATGCCTTCAGAGAAGCCTGTTACTCCCAAGAGAATGGACTTGGAGATTGACAAAGAGGCTGAGGTGAAGTGTGAAGTGGAGAATGATGCTCAGGTGGAGGGAAAAAAGACTAAGAAGAAAGAAGTGAAGAAAGAAAAAGCCAAACGTGAGTTTATTCTAATGAGAATGTGTTTCAGTGTGGTCTGGGGCTCTGCATGTTCTGTGTTCTCATGCATGCATGTGTAATGCTAAGAAGCACTTTGCTTTAATAAATAATTCATCAGAAACTCACTGCTTTTTCAGAGACGGAACAGAATGATGAACAGGAGACAGAGCAGGAAAAAGACAAGGAGAAAAAGGAGAAGAAAACAAAAAAGAAAGACAAAGTGAAAGAATCTGAAGACCCACAGAAGACAAACAAGACAACCAAACAAGAGCGTAAAAGTAACATCATCATTAACACATCAATGCTATGCATGATATCCTATGTGTGTTGTGTACAAGGAGGAAAAAACATTTGAATTGCCTCACAGTGTTCAAGATTAAGCTTTAACATTAACACATCCTTTGCAGAGAAGCACTTACTGGAGCCTCCAACCCAGGAGACAGAGTCAGTGGTGGAGGTGGCAAGTCCAAAGAAGAATAAACTTGATGAAAGTGACGATGAAGAGGAAGACGGGTCCCAGAGGCCTCTCCCTCAATCGCCTAAGAGGAAAAAACAACTCGACACATGTGAGCAATAGTGTGGCCTAGTGCATTTTATGATCGACGATAAGTTAAAGTTCAGATTAATGCTGCGTGTTATCTCCACAGCCAGGTGCCAAATAAGTGATGACAGCAAAGACGAGGAAACCCAGGAAAAGGAGAAAAAGGAGAAAAAGACAACCAAAGCAGAAAAAACTACGCCAAGTCTCGCCTCCCTTAACTCCAACTACAGGAAGGGTTCATCTTCAGGCAGTGAATCTGATGACAGAGTGAGACATTACCAACTGTTTGGAAACTTAAAAACTTATTTGGATTTGTCACAGAGAGCATATAAAATTAAATTTCTCATTTCAGTCATCCTCTCCGATGTCAGTGGAGGATCTTGAGAAGTTTGCTTTGCGTCCGGCCCCCAGAGATGTGACGATCCAGTGCAGGGTCACCAGGGACAGGAGGGGCATGGAGAAGGGCATTTACCCGACTTACTACCTCCACATGGAGAAGGAGGACGGCAAAAGGGTTGGCAAAACTGTAAAGCTATTCACGGCACAGGGATGGTAGTTCTAGTCTGTCTCTGTCTGTTCTAACATTTGTTTTTCATTGTGCCGTCACTAAGGTGTTCCTAATGGCAGGCAGAAAAAGGAAGAAATGCAAAACATCCAACTATCTCATCTCCACTGACCCGACAAACCTGTCCAGAGACACAAACTGCTACATTGGAAAACTAAGGTATGACTCTTTCATTTCTACCTTGTGAAAGAAAAGTAAACTAAATAATTTTGTCCTGATTTAATTTAATTTTTTTTCCTCTACTCAAAGGCTCCTCTTTTTTGTGAATTATCTTTATGCCTCCACCTCCTTTTACAATAGACTACCGCAGGAATGAGTCCTAAAACCCAGAACTGAGGTAACATTTTAGCTCCTGCCTCAAAGTCGATGGGATTTTGTCTTGATGCCGGAAATAAGGTTTTTGGTTAACACAACAGATTTTCAAGTTTTGTATAAAATAAAATACATGTGTGAAGTTTGAAGCCTCTTCATTTATTAGAAAAGGTGATTGCTAACAAGTGACTAAATGAGACTCCCGAGGTTCTCTGTGACATTAAACATCAGCATGCTGAACACAGAGACTTATCTTCTCACCTGTCCGCCTTTATAGCCTCATTGTGTTTATACTCACACTCTTGCAAAATATTCTAGCTCAAACTTTCCAACTTGTACATTTGATTTACACAGTTTACAAGTTGGAAGTTTAGTTGTCATGCGACCATGGGGTGGTTTGTTTATAGCCTAAAGTTAGCTTTTTCCCTCTGGCAATCACAGTTACGCTTAAAAAAATCCTAAAAGTGGTGTTAATTTATGAATATTATCTTGCCATACAAACTATGTGAGTATCATAAACCTTTGTTCACCACAGAGCTATCCTGGCTTTTTTTCATTGGCTTTTTGTTGATGGAACCAGGACGATGCTAACTACAAAAATATGTCACCCCTGCAAGCACTCTATTGGTCGTACAATGAGTTGGGGACACTTTTGAGTCAAAAGTCACTGTGATCTTAAAATGACCTTGACTAACTATAAGAATTGATGTGGTAATTATGACTAATTTTCACACAGATATTTAACGGTATACAGTGATGAAGTGATGAAATTTTTAACCCCAAAAGGTCAAAGTTCAACTTCAATGTGACATCATAAGATCACAGTGTTATTGGCCATTATTTAACATCATAACTCAGCAACAGAAGGGGAGATTATCACCGTATTTTACAGTTGGTCAGACACTGAATTGGTTTTGACTCAAAGGTCACCTTGACCTCAAAATAGCTGTAATTTAAGAATGAACTGACTGATTCCAAATATCACACATGTTGACTGGGACAACATAATGAGTTCACAATAACTAGCACAGTACGTGCTTTCATCTTTCCATCTCATCCATTCTGCCTTTCATGGCCTCATTCTCAATTTTGAGCATCATCGGAATAATGTGACAGCAAAAAACATTTTGTTGTGCACCTAGCTAATGATGATTGTGTGAGCACGACGTTTTGTTTAGCTATACTCTACAAGAATCCATCTTTACATTGTAATCAAGTACATGTGTAATGTATATTTACTGGAATGATACATATGTATCATCAGTAGTTATAGCTTTCATTTAGCCAGAAAATACACTTTATACCTTTCCTTAGTCTGAACAGACATCAATGTAAACTGCAGCTGGTTGGCGGAGGCACACAACCTTGGTGCGGTAATTCAGAACTCCTTTAGATAACATTCAGACATGCACTTCATAATGCTAAACAAGTGACTCTCAAACCTGGACCTGAAGTACTTATTTCTGTCAGACATTCTGACATGTCATAGCAGGAAAAATAGTAACCTTAATAAAAGCTGTGTTCCATTGAGGTGTCCCAATGTCCGGGCTCTGGTTTTGTGCCTAATGGCTACTGGGACACCCACATGGAGCAGAGTCATTGTTAATGTTATTAGTAACACCTGTGTTTCCTGCTATGGCAAGTAAAAACGTCTGTGGTGAAAAGGTGTCTATAAAAGAAAGTGTTGCAATAATTGTTTAAGACCTTTCTAAGTTTTCACTTCCATGATCCATCAGCATTGTAAATGGACAGACAATGAAAGCAGAGGATTCACAAGTTTAATTTACATTAGTTCCTTATCACTCCCAACCTACATGCTGTAGTTAATTGTAGGACATACTTCAGGCTGAAGGCAATATATAGCAAAAATCCAATTTTTCCTTTTTTAGGGCATTTTTTTATTTGGCATTTTGGTAATACCCCCTTGATTTGTGGAAGCAATCATTTTACATGGAAGTGAATGCACCCCATGTTTCTTAATTCCACAAACTTTTCATCTCCTACCTTGGCAGATTTCATATGATGTATCTGATGAGACTTTATTTATTTCAGGTCCAACGTTCTTGGTACAAAGTTTACAGTCTATGATGGAGGTGAAAACCCAGAGAAAAAGCCTTTCATCAAAGAGTGTGAGTCAGTGCGGCAAGAGCTGGCAGCAATTTGCTATGTGAGTTCAACTTTACTCGGTACACTTAATATCCCACTTAACACAGCATATCAAGAGATAAAAACCTCTAATACAACTGGCTTTTTGTGTTTCCAGGAGACAAATGTGCTGGGGTTTAAAGGTCCCAGGAAAATGACGGTGATCATCCCCGGCATGTTGGAGAACGATGAAAGAGTGTCCATTCGTCCGAAAACTGTACGTTTGATAAAGTAATCCTCAGTTTTTAAACCCTGTGAAGATGAAGAATGTGTGACATATAATGTGTGGATAGTGTGAAAATACTGAAATTTTTTTCCTTATTATAGGAACTTGATACTCTACTGGTCCGCCATGCGAACAGCAACACAGACAAACTGGTCACCCTGGTGAACAAATCCCCGAGCTGGAACGAACAGACTCAGTCGTACGTGCTTAACTTCCACGGACGTGTGACCCAGGCCTCTGTCAAGAACTTCCAGATCATCCACCCCGACAATGGTAAGATGTGACTTGTTTCTCTCATCTTCTGTCAGCAAACACAATGAAAATAGCTGTCTTGACTTCATTCCTAACATCACTGTGTCCTCTCCCCCCCGCGCTGATGTCCTTTACAGAGGGGATTACATAGTGATGCAGTTTGGCCGTGTAGCGGAGGACGTCTTCTCCATGGATTACAGTTTCCCCATGTGTGCCCTGCAAGCCTTTGCCATCACCCTGTCATCTTTTGATGGCAAACTGGCCTGTGAGTGACCCATGCTGGTGTGCCTCAAGTGCTTAACTAGATCCCTGATCTAGATAGAAACTTACAGTTTAAATTAAAGCTATACCCATGATTTTCCACAGGGTCATTTTTCATGGTTTGTATCCTGGTGCATTGTAACACTTTGCGTACAAAAGAATGCCACAGACTTAGACTTGTTTTATAGGTCCAGTATTATTGTACCACTGGTTTTATATTGAAGTGGAAGAACAGTCGTTTAAGTTAGTACATGTTAATTTAATGGTCATTCTTTTTATATTTTCCAGATATGTAAATTACTTGTTCAATTTAAATATTGAGGACAACTGTTTAAACACTACCAGTGAAAAATTAAATGATAATAATACATGGTTTGCATGTTTGCGAATGTTTTATTTCCCATTTTAAACAGAAATATAGATCTGTACTGTGTGTACTTTAATGTCTACTTGGTAAACAATCACAATCTTAAGCGGCAGGAGATTTTCCAACACAATTTTATGCTTCCAGAATCATCCCCTCAGATCTTCACCAGTCAGATTATGTGTTATTTTCCGGCCAAAAGTTATCTAGCTGTTTGCTATCGTCTTAAGAGTCTTTATCACAAAGAAGGAAGCATTTTTATCAAAGCACTTAAAAACTGAAAAAAGTACTTGTATCAGATGTTGCGGAACTGCAACAAGTTGCAGATAGAGGGAGAGATCAGGGTTTCTACTCTTGCACAATATAAAGACTTGAAGATGTTCCCTTCTCACAAGAATTTCATTGCTGATCTCAAGCACGTTCACACTGCTTCTCATGAGGCGACAGAGTCATTTCAGTTTCAGTGAATAGAAATAGGCCTCTGTTATGCTCTGTGGTAAAAATAAGGTGATCAGAAGTGCACAGATATTTTTGATGGCAAAAAAACAAAACCTCTGTTATCATATTGACATGACTAACTGCATGGTAATACGCTGTGTACTTGTTTCCTGTTCAAATGCTCTTCAAGGTATATTTTAAAAAATGGAGCCTTGAGTGTATCGTCTTCTTAACTTTCAACCTTTGCTAGTACTTGCTGCAACAAATGATAAAGTTAACCCTTACTTTACCATGCCCCCTTTGGACTACTAATGAACAGCAAAATGCATTTAAATACAAATCAAACTGAAAACAAACAACATAGTGTGTGTATGCCAGTTCAACTGAGTTTCAATTATAGTTGAACTGTGTTAGCCGGCTGAAGATGACTTCCTTTTGATTCTGTTGCAGATTACTTCATGTACAACCTAACACAGAGACATAGATACGCTACTGGTGTGTAAGTTAGTATGTATATAGTATAGTATAGTATAGTATAGTATAGTTTAGTATACAGCAGTGGTTCTCACTGAGCCACTGCAGGTAGGGTATGGATGACCAGGGGAAAGATATCAAGTGGAGCAATGTTGAATGAATATGATTTGTGAAGGAAAAATAAAGAAAGAGTTTGCTGGTGCTTTTGTGCTTACCTTAATTTCACTAAAATTACTTTTGGTTCCCCTCAAACTGTTAATGATTGCTAAAAATTGTGGGGTGTGAGGTGTGAAACCGTTCGAGAACTTCTAGTTTATAGCAACAAAATCACCTCAGAGGAAGACACTGTCAGCTCGTATCTTTTACAGAATCACCACAACACACAGCCGACGTTCAGCTGGCACTGCTCAACGCATTGCACAACACTCTGGTAAGTTGCACAATAATTGATATATTGCAATCTCAGGTTGCTCCACCTAGATTTAAAGATGTGTTTTGTCTGTTCAGTACATAAACAGAGCCACTTGGACCATTTGAAATAGATATCCCTAGATGAGTGAAGGGCAATCTTTATTTCTGTTAAAAATAATATAATTATTTTCAAAATTGTTTGCAGTGCTATATTTATGAGATTCAAATGTAATTGTTGAAAGAAAGTGAAAAGATATTTGATGTACACTATGAACCAAATTTAAAATATAGTCCTAAGGAGAATAAAAAAAAAATGTGCACAATCACATTTAGGTATGTAACCAATGTCCATAGAAATGGTTGTGTTTAGTGGTATCCAGTTTAAGGGGAAATAAGGGACCGAATTACACTGACTGACTTTTGACACCAATGACATTTGACACTAATGTGTCTTCATCATGGTAAAAATAGACAAAGATATAAGGCAAACGCACAGTCAACCTAGAATAGAATCAGTTGTGTCCAAATGCCAAATCCAATGCACCATGCAGTGTGTACAGTGCAAACTGTGTATGTAGAGCTTTAAAGAGAAGTTAATTTATGTTTTTTATTGTGGGAATTTCGACTATGTGTGTATTTTTGTGACTTATCGACTTATCAACCAGAACGAATCTCACCACAGTGCTCATGTGATGTGAGGTGAATGTCTTTCTACCTTTTCAGTAGTTTACCAGACGTGAAGACATCTCAAGGACTGTTCTACGTTTACTGTGTGTCACTCAGCATGAGGGTGAAACATTACCAGACCCAAAGCATTTCAGATTTTGTGATCAATTGGGTTTTAAAGCAATTAAAAACGAGGTCTGGTGATTTATTGTTTAACTAAATTAACTAACTAAAAAAAAAAAAAAGAAAAGTCAGTGCAGAGTGTGATAGATTATGTGGTTGTCACGTGGGACTCAAGCCTTACCCCTTTCACACGCTTTCCATTTTACAACTGCTCTCTTAAAAAAGCATATCCTCTGCCAGAAGTGACAAGTGAGTGATAGCAATCAGTGTGAAAACATTGACTGACACCTCCCTCTCTCAGTTTACATTAAAAACTGTTTTCACAAGACCTTTCGAGGCAACATGACTTAATCGAGACCTCTCTGCGCCAAGGTGATGTCTGGACCACTAGGTGTGATGGATTGGTGCTCTCCACCGAGGCTGAAGCTGAAGATGATGACCCTGTTTCTGCTCACATCTACCAGCATAGTCTGTCTGCACGGAAATCCTGTCACAGGTTATGTCTCTACCAGTATTTTCTATGATACAAAACCATGTTTGTCTACAGAAAAACATGTAAATGCTCATCAAGGTTGCTTAGATTGTAACTAAAATGCCAAATGACTGACTGTACAATGGACTGTGAAATGTAAGATGCTTAACTAAATATAATAAATACACACTAGAAGTTTGAATGAACTACTTATAGTGTGTGTTATCTGTTAAACTCATTCTGATGAGGACCTCAGCTATGGTCTTTTTGACCTTCGACCTTTGGGGAAAATCTGTATATTGGTCGCTGTAATTGTAGTTCGTGTCCAAATCAGCCCCAAAGACGTCCCCTCCTAAAGCGATTCAATATGAAGATTCGACTTAGACGAATCAAGTGGACATCCTCCAAAATTAAAGTCTTATTATAGTCACTAAAAACACTGTTAGTTTGGAATATGGCCACATTTTTGCTTAGGATTGTGTGTTCTTTCCTTCATCTTCATCTGTCACTGAATTTGCTTTAAGAAGGAATCTCCAGTATGTGCAGGAGAAACAATTACAGTGACCTTTAACACTTTACATGTACAGATGGACATGTGAGTGTTGTTTTGAGATAAACTTATGAAAATGTGAACCCGTACTTTAAGTTCAGTTTTAAATGTTTTTTGGTTTTTGTTAGATATGATATGAATAAAACACATAAAGCATGCAGTTTAAAATGTTATTAAGTAATTTATAATGGTTCTTGGACTATGTTACGCAGTCATCTTCCAGAGGGAAATCAAACAAGGAAAAAACCCAATATATTTACAATCTTTTTTTTTTTTTTTTTTTTTTTTACAAAATCTTTGTGTATAATGGTTGTTATGGATCTCTAAAGCATTAATAAATACTTTTATTATCAACTAACTAAGCATTAAGTAACAACAGTGTATACATCCTCATGAAGCGCTGCACCATAAGTTAAAGTGGTATGATTAGTAGTACAGTGACAGTCTGGGTTAAAGTTGACACTTTTGTACTCCTGATGCATTTAAAATCAGACATTGCTTGTATATTTTTTTAGGTGTGGACTACAATCTGCACTGTGTGAATGATTACCTGTACACCATCAACTGCTCCCTGAGCATCGCTCCATCAGGGAACACCTCAGACACCAACGGCTTCTACTGGCTCAATTTAACATATTACGGGTGAGGCACTTTTTTTTTTACTAGTACATATTATTCATTGCCAGCCTTAAATGTGATGTTGTTTCATTCGTGTTTCTCCTCTCCTTATTGTGCAGAGAGGAGTTTGAGTGCAAGCTGACAAAAATCAATGAGGATTACTTCTGTTCTGTTGAAATATCCAGTCCCTTTGACGATCAAGACATCTATAAAATTTCACTTTGTCACAAACAAAATGATGGGTCTAAAATCTGCGATGTGTTGGACGATGAATATATACCTGTGGAATACAGTAAGGAACACACACAACACATTCACATATATTCATATACAATATACACGTCTGCCTTTTTAAAAAGTGTTTATGTGTTTGTGTCCTCTCATCAGTTAAACCAAACGCACCGTGCTGCCTCACAGTCAGCCACAACTCAAGTCAATGGCACTTCATCTGGCAAAGTACTTATGAGGATAGTTATTACACCGGTCTGGGCGAAAACCTGAAGTATCAACTCCATTACTACAAAAGAAGAGACAAACATAATGTAAGGTTCAATGTTAAACAAGCAAGAATGGGGCACTCTTTGTTGGTAGGGATAAGAGAATAAAACTAGCCTTTTGTGGAACAGTTTCGGCCTTATGGTGGTAAATCAATTGCAAATCAATGGAAAGTGAGGAATGTATTTGAACTGTGAAATGTTGAATAATTTGATCACTACTGGTGAATTTTGGGAGTTTGACTGACGAAAAACTGTCAATAATTAAACAGACTTCAGAAAGTAATTTTCCGTTTTTCTGTTTCTTCTTGTGACCGCTCTGAGCTGCTTCTTGAAATAAGTAACTTCATCAGTGGCCACTGTGGCCTTCAGCTCAGAGTGGTGTCAGTCTGTGGGTGAAACTGTGACTTTATTTGACTTTTCCACCACAGACGTTTTGACTTGTAATAGTAAGAAAAGCGCACGTTTAACTAACAATTGTGGCTCTGTTGACACCCAATGAAGCAGGGACTTTTGGGGGCTCCTGGGTGAATCTGGCACTATTATTGATAACATCTGGGCTTTTCCTTCTATGATGGCATGTCAAAATATTAGCAGTGTAAAAAGTCACAACAGGATTTGTATAATGTTGGAAATAACTGACAGCACCTTAGATTCGACCTCCTAAAACAGTCAGAAATGAAAATTGTAGATTATCAATATCTTTGTAGAACACATTGATTATTTTCTTACCATACATTATACCACCTATTATACCATCTAGCT